GGAGACGTTTGCCATGCTTTCCTAGTTTATATGGATAATGGCCATCATGGCAACATGTAATGACTGACTGATAGTGACGTCTTGGAAAAGTGTAATGATGACTCTGATACCAGCAGTGGTTGGTGGAAGATGAAAAGTGTACGATAAGCTTTTATGGTAAAAAATCTTACAGGTGTCAAATAGATACATCAAAGAATGACTATTTCTTCTTGTGTCGAAATTGACATTCTCGGGGGGCAATTTGTTAGCTCCTAAATTCGACACCCACGACATATTGGTCTTATTGGCCAAAAAATTAGATTGAACAAATCTAAGTTGGAAACACTTCGACAGAAGAGCTTGTAACAAAAAGGTTGTGTCGAAGTCTCCCTTGCTAAGAAGGAGAAAACACTTAGAGAATTTCTAAGTTAAAGTCGGTATTCGACCAAGAGGTTCTCGTGACCTTCGACTGAGAGGTTCCTGTGCCCTTCGACTTAAAGGTTCTCGTATCAGCAAGCGAGTAATTTTGAATCTGAAGAAAGGAGGGAAAGACAGTTCACTTGGCAGTTGAGGAAACAACGTGGCATGAAGATAGAGGTCGAAGCACATGTAGAGGACACTTGTCCCCATCTATGAACGAGGCAACGGCTTGACGGTTACTTAGTTTCAATATAAATAAAGGAAGTTTGTGTAAAATTCTGTGTGTTCAACATATGGTACAAGTCACTCAAATATATTCAAATACCCACTGTGAGAGAAAAGATATTGAGAATGTACGTTTGAAACACCATCTTTTATTCCAATCAAAGTCTTTACTATTCCTTTACATTCTGTGCCATTTACATTTCCTTGCATACTTTATCGTTACTGCAAATTTACTATATCCTGCCTTTACTTGCACTTTTTATCGTTTTTTAACCTTTATCATTAAACTCTTCTCTACCCCTTTCTATTTACTTTTTACTTGCACTTTCATCAAGTTTTCGCATGCATCTCGCCTCTACTCTTAATTCTCCTCTCAACCCTTTTCACTTAAATTTACTAAACTTACAAACTAACTTAGCATATGTGCTATGATCAATCTGATCAATCCTGCAAGTCACCAAAATAACCCATTTTGGAAGATCATCGGTTTTTTACCAATTTCCATGGTAAACAGGTTGCACTAAATATATTATAAACTAACATTTTAAAAATGAACAATGATGCCGCCATCATCTCCATCTTCTTCGTGTGAACAACAACAACAATCGTGGTGCATCTTGTAACTTCCTCATTTCTCAACCAATTTTAAAAATGTAACAACCTAAATTGCTCAAAATTTCACAAGGATTCTCATGGCATCACTAAATCAAACTGCTCAAAAAAACAGAACCAAACCCTGATATTAAGTGATTCGAAACTTCACACACACACACACACACACACACACACACACGTGATTAAAGACAAGAAACTTAAGGGTTAGCTTAAACACATTGAAAACTACATCTTTGCTTCAGAAATCTACTTTAAATGATGCATGTATGTATGAGTTCCAAGTTGAGAAATTTTACCTGTTGGAGCAAAGGTCCAATTCCTCTTTCAATGGTTCCAACATAAAGAAAATGATCCTATTAGCTTCCTTAAACCTCACTAGAACTATTGTTGTCCTTACTTTGCTTTGAATTGTGTCCAATCTCTTCAACCAACTCAAAGTGCAAGCCACAAATTCTTGATATGGAAGTTGAGTTTGAGTGGTCACAGACATGTAAAATGGTTATGGATGAGTTGTATTTAATGTATAGAAGCTTTGTGGGGGTGTTGAAATGGAAAACGCACGAGTGGATTCAAAGATGGAAGTTTAAGGTTTGAAAACTTGCAACAATGGAGTTTTTGTGAAAATTTTGTTGTGTTTGAGTTATGAGCATTGGGGGATATTTATAGAGGTTTCAAATGGTCTACTTGCAGAAATCATTCTTAGTTCACATGGAAGGCTGGTTTGGCCATTTGGTTTCATCTTTGCAAAAAATTCATGTTTGATCATGATGAAATATGGAGTAAATCAAGGGTGAATGACCTTGCTTTTATGAATTTAGAGGTTGCTTTTGATATTTAGAGGTTGCATGTGATCTTTAAAATAAGTTACAAGCTTGAAAGAAGAGATTTGTTGGCAAAAGTTGATCTTTATCAAAGTGGACACCTTGCTTTTTTGCAAAATTCTCCAAATATGGTATCATGTAATGGTTAATGCTTCAGTTCTTTGTGCAATAGATAAAGGACTTGTGTAAATCTCTGATTATGGTGAGATTTAGAAGCTAAATGGACTGAAAAGTGGGATTATGTAGCTTAGGCTCGGATGTTTCTATGGAAGCTTGTCAAAAATGGACCTCTAATTCTCTTTTGGGATGCCAACTTCATCTCTTCAAAACTCATAGCTCAAGTGTGATAAGATTGTGGTGAAGATGATGATTACTTGATCATCATAAATGAATAAGGAGATTGAATCTCTCAGGACCAATGATTTCATCAATTCTTTTGGAGTCCTACCTTGCAAAAGCAACAAACAAAACAAAGCATGTCTTTGTATCTCCATAAGGCTAGTGATGCAAATATGAATGAGATTATCTTTTGATGTTATGCAAAGGTATAAAAGGATGTGAGATACTAGGTCAAAAATTAGGGTATGACACTCTTGGTTTCAAGACTTATATTCCAAATTAGGTGTGCCGCTTGCGAAAATCTCTATACAGCTTGAAACAGGCACCTCGGTGTTGGTTTTCCAAACTAAAAAACGCTCTTTAATGATATGGTTTCACACAGTCCTACTCTGATTATTCCCTTTTTACTCTACAGCGTAGCTGTGTAGAGTTGTGTGTGTTAATTTACGTGGATGACCTTATCATTTCGGGAAACAACAACAAAGAAATTGTGTCCTTCAAATCCTACTCGAGCAAACGCTTTCATATGAAAGATCTTGGCCCTTTAAAATATTTTCTTGGCATTGAGATGGGTCGCAATTCCAAAGGAATTTTCATGTGCCAACAAAAATACACACTTGACATAATCATTGAAATTTGATTGTTGGATGCTAAACCTGTTGGTTTTCCCTTAGATCACAATCACCATCTTCCATTAGCCATTGGAACTCCACTTTCCAATCCAGATCGCTACCGAAGACTAGTAGGTCGTTTGGTCTACTTAATTGTCACTAGACCTGAACTTTCTTACTTGGTTCATATGTTGGCTAAATTTATGCAAAAATCTTTAGAAGAATACTAGAATGTAGCTCTCCGTGTTATTAGATATCTCAAGAGATATCTTGGCCAAGGTATTCTTCTCCAAGCTGATTGTGATCTTTAAATTAACACCCAATGTGACTCAGATTAGGCAGGTTGCATTTTGACAAGGTGTTCTTTTACTGGATGAATTGTTTTTCTTGAGAATTCTCCTATCTCTTGGAAAACCAAAAAGCATCAGGTTGTCTTCCGTTCGTCTGCTGAGGCAAAATATCGTTCCATGGCTACTACGACAAGTGAGCTCAAATGGTTGAAGGCACTTTTACTCTCTCTTGGTGTCTCTCAATCTTGCCCAATGAAATTATATTGTGATAGTCAGTCGACATTGCATATAGCTGCCAATCCAGTTTTCCATGAGCACACAAGACACATTAAAGTTGACTGTCATTTCTTATGTGATGAACTCCTCAAAGGCAACATTTCAACTCACCACGTGTTCACAAATATTCAACTAGCTGATATATTTACCAAAGCAATGGGAAAACAACAATTTGATTATTTTCTAAACAAGTTGGGTATTCATAATTTGCATGCTCCAACTTGAGGGGGAATTTTAGACTACTGATATCTTGCCAAAATAATATCATGAAGATACTATCATAACAACACATTATATAAAGATATTGTCAGCACATTACGCCAGCTATGTACATATCTTCAATTTACTATTCTTAGCATTAGTTTATATGTAAATGATTTAATACAATATCTAATCATTCCAAATATAGTTGCCTAATATTGAATCGTTTACATATAAACTAATGCTAAGAATAGTAAATTGAAGATATGTACAGCTGCTTACATAATGTGTTGTTATAACAGTATCTTCACATACAGTGGCGGAGCCAGAAAAATTATGAAGCCTGGGCAAATTTTCATTGGCTTCATAATTTTCTACCAAGACAGTACAATGCTAATCCCAAAGGAATTATTTCCTTGAATTGCAATTGCCTCTTCAATTTGTAAGATTTCAGATTTTATAATATATACATGTTAAAATTTCGGATTCTATAATATATACATGTTACAGTATTTCAGGTGTGCTCACAAAATGAACAAACCTATAAAAGCTGAGAAAATTAGTTCAACACGTTCATTTGTGTGAAATTAAGTACTGCCTAAAAACACCGTTATCAATTCAAATTCCAAATAATGTTGTCAAATACAGATCGGCGAAATGGTGGTTTGTTAAAATTCCGGTATGCTACAATGTTGTAGAGCCACTATTTGAGAACACATTTTACTAAGTAGCATAATAAAAAACAATAGGGATGTGATCAAATTCCGCTACACTATATTGCAGAACCGCTAACTTTTTATTTCAAATCTTCTTTTGTACACATTGTTTACAGTGAAAAATATTATGTTGTTATTATTTGTTTGACTTTTCAACACACAATTTGTCAATTCCCAATCATAAACCAGTAAACTTTCATCACCATTAAACATGTTGAATTTCTTTTCTACAGTGAAATTTTTGCAGGAAGCAGGAAAAGGTGGAAAATTGAAAAAGAAGAAGAAGTCAAAACAAACAACAACTCAAGTTCAAAATTAGACACAAAAAGAAACAGAAGTAAGAAGGAAGAAATCTCCGATCAACTTGCATCGACGCTCCACCTGCAACATCAATGGTAGCCTGAATATGAAGCATTCCGATTCCGAATAGTCTGCAAAAATAGTCACTCCGAGAACCTCCAACCGTCTGACCATACGACATACGACCTCTGCCGCAGTCATCCAACAATGAACTCAAATTCATCACCCACTCCAATGACCCTCGATTCCGTAAGCTTTGACTTTCGCTCAACAACCGCCAACAACCACCTTTCGAAGCAAGCACCCCCGGACAATCACAACACCACGAATTCTGATTCAACAACAACAACATCGCACCATTCAACCCTCACCGTCGTGATCTCAACCCACCACCGCGTCACCTCCTCCAACGAATCACCGATTAACGCCACCATCCTCGACGGCCCGACGCTCACGAAGCACCACTATACCGGTCGCCCGCTGCCGTACGCATCGAATCCGGTGAAGTCCACCGCTATTTCCCTCTGTGACGCATCACCATGCTCATCACCGCTCTGGAATCAGGTCCGGTTTTCTTTTTGAGTTTTAGATTTCACTATTGTTTTTTTTCTCTTTCGCTCTAGGTGTCGTTGGTATGCATAAGTAGGCGGCCGAGCCTAGGCAGCTGCCCTAGCTGGCCGGACGCTGCTCCGCCAGTGTTCACATAATATGTTGTTATGAGAATATCTTCTTAATATTATTTTGACAAGATATCAGTAGTCTAAGATTTTCAGTAACTAATAAACTATATTTTCAGGGCATACTTTTGGATGGACGAAAAATAGCGGTAAAAAGACTTTCAAAAAGCTCAACGCAAGGTGCAAAAGAGTTCAAGAATGAAGTTTTGTTGATCGCCAAGCTTCAACATAGAAATCTAGTCACGTTCATTGGTTTTTGCCCGGAAGAACAAGAGAAAATACTTATTTATGAATATGTGCCGAACAAGGGTCTTGATCACTTCTTATTTGGTTAGAAACTTAATCACATTAAACTCTGATATGTATCATACATTTGATGATTGTGTTTATGATTTTTTATATATGAGTTTGGTGTAGTTTGTTTGATTGATTACAAGACATGCTTCATTCTTACATTTCTCACTAGAATATTTTTCCAGACTTTCAACAAACAAAGTTCTTAAGTTTGCCCGAACGATACAATATTATAAGAGGAATTGCTTAAAGAGTTATTTATTTACATGTACATTCTCGACTCAAAGTTATTTATCGTGACTTTAAACCTAGTAATATTTTATTAGATAAAAATATGATTTAAAAAATATCAGATTTTGGTCTTGTTAGAATTTTTGAGCTAAACCAAAATGAAGCAAGTAAAGATAGGATTGTCATCAATTTTTGTTGGTTCCTTTTCTATAAACTAAGCTCATGTTGAATTTATCTTTATTTTTTTATAGAGGTTATACGTGTCTAGAATATGCCATGTTGAGACAATTTTTTGAGAAATATGATGTTTATAGTTTTGGAGTCATGTTTTTAGAAATTATGATAGGAAAGAAAAATGTAGGGTCCTATGAATCATGTGATGGTGTTAGTCTCCTGAGTTATGTGAGTACATCTAGAAATTTATACTCAATGTTTACTTAGATGGAATGAATTCATAGTGGTAACAAATTGTATATTACTTTATAACTTGTTTTACAGGTTTGGAGACAGTGGAGGGGTAAAACACCATTAAACATATTAGACCCAAACATTAAAGGAACTTATTCTGAAAGTGAAGTCAAAAAGTGTATTCAGATTGGTTTATTATGTGCTCAGCAGTTCCCTAATTCAAGAGCAAGAATCGCAACAGTAATTTCATATTTTAACAACGACTTCATTGAACTACCAACTCCCCAAGAACCTGCATTTTCGTTCCCTGGTCAAATGGATGCAAATCCACAAGAATCAAGTTCTACTCGGTTTAAAAATACTTCCACAGCATTGACGATCAATGAATTGTCTATAACCGAATTGTTTCCTCGATGATATGTTCATTTTGCTTTTCTTGTTGTTGTTTATGAATGTTTCAATTGTATAATAAAACTCCATTTGGAAAATTTAATGGGTAAATATTGAATAATGAACATGTATTTTTTTCATTTTAATGGTTGATACTCAGTCTTTGTATTCTTTTGATAATTGATTGACATACATCTATTTTTTATCTATAGTTCCTAAGAGAAAGAAAAATAGTAATTTGAGTCTAGAGAGTTTCTTATGACACTCTATATAGAGAAAAATAACTCTATTAAAAATCAAAAATACTCTTTTGAAAATGTATTTTCGAGACGCACCCTAACTCTCATCAAGTCAGGTAAAATTTCGTTACACCCTTGTTTAAGGTAAGAAACATACATGATATATAACACCGGTGGAAATTAGAGATAAAAATATGGTATATTTACACGGAAAAATCTAAAAAAATTGTCACCTATAAATCAGATATACATTTCCAATTTATTCTGAGAAACCAAAAGCTTAAAACAACAAGGTTTATGGGGTATATTGATCATGTTCATTTCAAAATGAGACCAAAATACTCCAAAAAAAACCCTCACATTCCCAATCCTATTTTTCACTCAAAATCAACATTCTTATGGTGCATTATATCAAAAGGAGCTAAAGGAAACTGAATTTAAGGTAAAGCTTCCTCTTTTCAATCTACATTAATCATATTAATCTGTTCCTTCTGTGGAAAAAATATCACGTTAATACCGGAAATTCTTGGAAATATATTTCCGGTTTACAAATAAACTTTATCGGAAATGTACTTCTGATCCTGTAACCGCTATTTCCAGCAACTTCAGTTTTCTTATTTGCTTCAGATATTTCTTAGTTTAATCTGTTTTTACATATTAGGCACAAGACCTGAGAATATTTCAAACATCATTCAAGTTTACAATTAGCGCTACCAAACAAAATTGACGCTTAGAGGGGATCGAACCGAAATGCAACAACTCTTGAAGCTTTTAGACGATAACGACTACGTTTGTAGGCACCAGAGACGTGACGATGGAGTATCGGTAAGAGATATATATTGGACTCATATTGATTCCATTAAATTGTTCAATACGTTTTCTGCCGTGTTTATAATTGATTCGACGTACAAGACCAACAAATACAAGTTGCCATTGTTGGAAATTGTCGATGTTACGTCGACTGAAATGACATATTCCATTAGTTTTGCATTTCTAGAATGTGAAAAAGAGGACAATTTTGCATGGGTTTTAGATGTTTGTCAGTCAATGTTAAAGGACCAAGAAAATATGTCGAAAGTCATTATTATCGACTACGATACAACACTAATGAAGAACATTGAAATTGCAAAAAACAAGAAAAAATCAAAGGGTGTACCACCTGTGGATTTGTCGGAAGAGAATTACTTTGAATCTTTTAAGTAGTTAAATATGACTTTGATGTATATGTCTTTTTGTTAATGAATTATGACGTGGAATATTCTTATTTTGGTAATTATGAAATCTATTATTATATCTTTGATGTATATTTGTACTTCCAGTTTTCAGTTAGGGTGTAACCGGAAATATATTTTTGATTTTCATTATGTCAGCAGATAGGATGTGTGTGGTCCATAACATCCTCAAAATACTATATAAGAAACTCATCCCTATTGTTATCTCATGTCTAAACACTAAAACACAAAATGAATATCGTTTGGCATGTTGGAAAGGTTCACTTTGCTACCGTGGATCTATCATCAAGGGAATTCAAGACCAATAAATACGAACCGCTTAAAGATCTTCGTTACACAATACATGAACTTTTACCATATGGCGACAATCGGAAACTTTTGAAGATTGCGTACCGCTCTCCATCCATTAACAACAACAAAAAACTTGAGTTCATCAACAAAGAGATAAAGACAAGCACTGATTTACGGGTTATGTGGGAAACGTTTTTCGATTACGATTAAAAAGTTCAAATCGAGCTTGATGTGATAATTACAAGAACAATCGATGAAATTATGAAGCCGTTGCAACGTCCACCCGAATGTTGAAGTGTAATGTTACATATATGTTTAAATTCCATATGTATTGCTTACTTTATGTAATTTTATGTTTTGTTTTGGAATCTTGATATAATGTGTAAGTGCTGCTTTCCTGCATTCTGTAATGAATAATATCAGAAATACACTTTCGGTTATAAATCGGAAAAGTATTTTCGGTTTTGGTTATTTTTAATTAGATGTTGCTGCGTCTCGGAAATACATTTCTAGTTCCTAGAGGCATATTTGGAAATTCACGCTAGTGCCTAAGAAACATTAAGGGTGCATTAAATTCTCTTGAGTTTGTTGTAATGTTTTTTTGTGTGTTCTGACTTGTGTGAATTATGATTAAAGGACAATTTAAAGAGTTAGGAATGAATTTAAAGGTGAAGTGAGAAAAGATCAAAGAAAAATTCATTGATTATAATATTAGTAAAAGGAAAACATTTGAATTGAAGTAGGAAGGCGACAAAGTAAAAGAAGAGATAAATACTTTGTGAAAATAAAGGGGCAGTAGGTGTAACTGAAAGGAAGAAGTTGAGAAGAAGGTACAATGCAGCTAAGCCGAAGATGATACCTTTACAGAGTTTAATGAATCAAGACACCAAGACAGGCAATAACGTTCTTGTGCACTGAAATTCATTTCAAAAATTAACTACATTGCATAGATATTCTTTTTACGTTATGCATAACCATGTTAGCTTAGGACCTTTGACTAAGTAAACCTCCATTTGCTAATGCTTATATATAAATGGGTTAAATATGTTAGGGATTCTCATAAATATGCGAATCTTTAATTTTAGTTCTTTTAAATTTTTTCTTCAATGAGTGGTCCTCACAAACTTTTACATTCTTAACATTGGTCCCTCCCGTTAGTTTCCACTAATGGAGGCTTACGTGGCTTGCCAATTGTGTATTGTTTCATTGACACGTAGGATTCTTATTAAAATAATATTTTTCATTTTATATTTAAGTGAAGTTACTGAACCCTAAATTCATTCCCCGTTTCTTCTCTGTGTGACTTTCCTTCACCATTTTATTCTTCATCATTCTTCTATTGTTGATCGTTTTTGTTCTTCTTCCCAATATGGACATCGTGCTCAGCAATAACTGAAAATATGTCATCTTCTTCAATTAGAAGAAAATCGATATTCTTTCAGTCCATAAGTGTGACCAACCATCCATGGAGAATGTGTAGTTGCAATGTTCGTATGATATCATATCATTGCAAGAACGAACATAATAGAGGGAGACTCTTCTAGAGATGTTCCTTTTAGAAAAATGAGGAAACGTACAATATTTTTGTATGGGATGATGATATGGCACAAGGAAACGATGTAATTGAGAATGCAGATGATGAAGGGAGAAATGATGAGAGAAAAATGAGGGAGATGCAAGTTGTTGAAACATTGAAGGAGTTGTATGAATCTGCAATGAAGAAGAATGTGGAGTTGCAGATCGAGTTGAAGTCAGATGGCTTTTATGGAAAGATGAAGATAATTTTCCTTATTTTTTCGTTTATGGTCAACATGTATTTGTTAGTGAAATGTAAAAGTTGAAAGGTTTTTCTACTTATGTTGTAATGTTCAGTGGGCATGGTTTAATTGATATATTTTGCTACTTGTAATCTTCTATGGCCATGGTTTAATAAAACCTATAATTTGGTTTAGCAAGATTTAATGCATATGTTTTGCTAGTTATGTTTTAATGTTCAGTGGGCATGGTTTAATTGACCTGTGACTTGGTATAGCAGACAAAGTGAATGACCTATAATTTTGTAAGTTTAACGTGGATTATGTTAAAACGTGAGTTTAATGTTGCAAATGACCTAAAATCTTGTAGTTTAATAAATGTTTGAACTGACCTATAATCTTGTAAGTTCCATGTGTGACCTATAATTTTTTTTCTTCAAATGTTGCAAGTGACCTATAATTTGGTCACTACAATTTTCCATAATTTATGCATAATTTTGATATAACTTCCACACAATTTGCATAACTTTGACATAATTTTAACCTTACGTAAGGTTCATAACCAGTACATTACATAAATTTGTCATTACATCTTGTTCACCATATAACATAATCATTGTCATTACATCATGTTCACTAAGCAAAACATCAAAACATTAACTAAGTTCCAAAACTGTACAACAAAACATAAGGTTCTTTACTGATTTCACATCAAAACATAAAGTTCATTTTGTTCACTGAGTCAACCCCTTGCATATGTCATCCCATTTCTTTGTCTTACTAACACCAAGGTCACTTCTAATGAGGTTTCATCCTCCTCAGTGAGCACCAAAAGATCATCTGCCTTTTTACCAGGACCAACTACAACCTTTGTTTTGAGGGTCCTCAGTCTGTCACTTTGCCTTTTTTTCACCTTGCACACCATCCTTTATCTTCCTGGCTTTGGTATGCACATGTGGTTTGCAACTCTTAACCTATGAAGAAAATGTTTCAATTAGTTGAAAAACAATATGAATTTAAATAGAAAGGCTATCCTAGGCAGCAAGTTTTAATACTCATTGGTTCACTACAACTTGGTCTTGGTGAGGATGATTTTGGTGGTTTGAAAGGTCTGTTTTTGCTTTTTTTTTGGAGCTATACCATAGAAAATCCCGGGTACTCTTGGATTTTCAGTATCCTTTGGTTCAGTACCCTTTAGTTCACTAGCCTTTGGTTCAATAACCTTTTATTTAGCAACCTTTGGTTCAGTAGCAAAGGATGAATGTCTAAGTCATCATTATACTCTAGCAAAGCATCCAAAATATCAGCATCCCAATCATAGAACTGGTCAAAAGGTGAAGACTGTGTAATTGGTACATTTTTAGTTCCATAATTGACAGTTGCATCATCCATATTGTCTCCATTCACACCTGGTACATCATTTCCACTTCCATCATTAACAATTGGTTCTTCCATATTGTCTTCATTCATACCTGGTTCGTTGACAATTGGTCCCATAGCAGTTGGTTCAT